AGAGGTGGAGAGCAGCTGCAGGGCGCGAGGAGAGTTGGCGGCACAGGTGACTCGTTGTCTAAAAGGATACGCCCATTGGGAGGTGGCAGCTCAAGAGAGGATCACACTCAGGGAGTTCGAGCTTCGGGCGGCGGCATTGACGGAGGGTGACAGTCGGAGTCGGCGGCGAGTGGCAAGAAAATTAGAAACCTTCTTGTCGGGTGCGCGCGACACTATGGCGCACTTGCAGTCGGAAGTCACCACAGCGCTCCGACGCCTGGGGTTGCGCAGCCGGTCGGAAGACTGGCAAGGTAGAGACAGTAAGCGGAGCAGTCCGGCGCGCAGGAGGCGCAGCACCGGATCTGCTGAGTGCAGTAGAGTAGTTTGGTTTCGCGCAGATGCTGCGAGTGGTAGATAGGATAGCGTAGTGCTAGTTAGGATCTTTTGAGGGTATAAAGTAGATCAAGGCGTTTTGCCTTGGGACTCTTCCAGTTTCGGAAGTGCAGATCAGGAACTCACTTTCTTAGCGTGTTTGTGCATTTTGGTCCTGGCACCACGTAGAGAAGCTGCAGCATAGCGAAGTTACCGTATGTTGTAGTTGAAGGTCTTCGGCTGAATGTTCAGAGCTAGTACCCGGTTAGAGACTTGAGTAGTGCGGATCTGCACCTGCGGGTGATTTCTGATGCTCAGAGCCGGCTGCGAGTTAGATACTTGAACAGTTCCCCCTTACTCCTTCGAGTGACATATCCTGATTGTACTCCTACAGGAAGCTTCCCCTGAATGCCAATGTGAAGTTTCGTTACTTCGTGTAAACCTTGGTTTGTAATTCAGGTTGTGTGTGTGTTACTGGATCGTGTTTTCAGTAAGTTCTCAGTCGGGTTTGCACTCCCTGCGTTCGGTGTGATAGTCGAGGGTGACGTCCACGGCGTATGTAGAGGCTTCGTTCCGAAGTGGGAAGTCCAGTCCGGGTACCCCCGCTAGTTCCTGGCGGAAGGGCAGTAAAAGCCGGAGTGGGAGGCACTACCTGCAGAACCTCTGAGTGAACTTGTGAGACACTTTCCTCCTGAAATCCGAAGCGGAGGTCCTGACCGACCTCCGAGTTGTGCTTTTTGCCAGTTTCAGGTGTGTGTGTGTGTGTGTGTTGAGTGACCACGCTGTACCGTGCATCCTCCGAGCATCCTCCGAGTTGAGATCCTCCTCCGAGTCGAGCCTCCAAGTCGAGCACTGCAGTATTTCTGGGAGTGACAGTTGCCTAGAATTCAAACTCTACAAAAGTCTGTTAAACGTGACACTTTTACTCTGTGTGTTGCCTCTGTCCCTGTGGGTTCGATCTTTTTACCACCATACTGCAGTTTTAGCCTTTGGTGGGTTATTACAAGCGCGCAGCCCGTTCTGTGGTAGACGGAGCGGCAGCATCCGCAATCGGCCCGGTCTCGTCATTGCGTTCTTGGAGTTCGCCCGCCCGCTCATTCTACTTCCGCTCCGCTCGAGCTCCTTTGTTCCTCGGCAAACTCTAATCGCCCTCAATTCCAAATCACGCGCACTCACTTCTCCCTCAATCACCAAGAAATCCTCTGCGCGGCGATGTCGAGAATGCTTAGCAGCCAGCAGATGGACGCGCGCAGCTCGCACAAGAGAATGGAATCGCGAATTCAAGAATGGGACGCTCTCCGCCGCCCGGTCGAAGGTCATGGTCGGCTCTTGCTCGTGGAGGACGTCTCAATTGATGGCTGCGCCGGCTCTACGCTGAAACGGTCTCCGCTCTCACGCGCGGCTTCACGCTCCGCCGTCGCCGATTAAACTCTCACGTTCGAATTGGCGGATTTGAACTCCGCGAGCGTACTACATCGCGGACATGGGTGCGCAGCGCCGAAGGCGAGTTTTCCGCCTTGCGCGGTACACTCGTTCGTACCGCTCCTCAGCCAATCCCCTTCTGCCTCGACGCGTGTGTCCGCATGTCGGACAAAAGTTCAACTCCCGCCTGCGCGATGGCAGACGCGCCGGCGGAGAATCCGCCGGCGCGGAACTTCATCCTCCTGTGCACAGGCGCTCGCCTGGGCGCAGGCGAATTCCGTCCGCGGCGACGCGCTGGCGCGGAAGGCGTTGACCGCGGTCAGCCGTCTCCGTCCAGACTGTCCGTTCCTTGTCTCTTCGTCGGCGCTTCCGCCGCCGCAACTCCGTCCGTCCAAGAGCGCATCCATCCGTCCCGTCCGTACGGTCCGTACGGATTTGACTATTCTGGCGGCTCCTTGCTCGCCCGCGGCGCTGCGCTGGCGCAGAAGGCGCCATACAATTTCTACCTCACAAGGCGCATTTCTAGGGCCCAAGGCAGATTTCCCGCCGACGCCGAAGCGCCTGTGCACAGGCGGAGGCCTGTGCGCAGGCGAACTTCGCGCCTACCTCAAACCCTATTTCGCCTGTGCACAGGCGAACTTCCTTCATCCGCGCATAGGACAAAACTTCTCCGCCTGTGCGCAGGCGAAGAGTTGAGTATCTTACAACCTTCATAACTCCCGGAGTCCTTATCCGCTGTTGGCGTTCTTGGGCTCGTTGGAATCAGTGCGTCGAGCTCTTTCCAACGAGACCCTAGCTAGGTCAAGGCGTCCGGGGGTTGACCTAAATATGAAGGATTTCCCTACCGCCGCGGACGCAGCTCCGAAGGCGGGTTTTACGCCTTGCGCCGTAGGGATCCTAACTGCAGAGCTCGCAGGGAGGGTGGTGCCCGTCCTTACTGCTGTACCCAACTCCTAGATCCTACGAGATCCCTCGAGAATCTCCGCGATCTTCCAAATTCACTCTGTTTTAATGCACCGAAGGCTATTTACATTGCTGCCAGGGTACAATTTTCCAAAAATGTTTTAATTTCCTCAAAATTACCAAAAGTGGGGTACCACAATTGTACTTGTAATTACACAGTGGGTGAAAGGCATCACTTGTAACCCACACGATGTTGTGAATGAGAAACTACTTGCTCTTCCATTGGAAAAACTGACATTGGAAACTTCCCGGTTGGCCCCTTCGTCTGCTTACGAGATATGTAGGCCCACATCCATATAAAAACGCTGTTCTTGAACATACCCGGACGTAGTTATACTACCACTGTTCCTAGGAATTGAATGCAACTAGACCACACAGCGCCCTACACTTGGAAGTTAGTATATCATATAACACCATATTGCTACATCATGTGACTTAGCACATGAACACAGACTACAAGTTTCACTTCTAAGAACATCGCTTCTCAAAATTAGTGAGGAAATATAGTTTTCTTCAATGATCCTGTACTAGTAGGGCGTGGCTGCCGCAGTTGTAAGATCTTACATATTTCTCGGGCAAGGCAGTCAGTACACAATTGCATTCATGCACTCTAACATTCTTGAGCTCTGTCCAGTTCTATGCTCGAAGGTGGCTTTCTGAATATGTCACTTCTGAATCTGGGTGACTTGGTGCGAAAACTTCCCTGCAATTGTACGCAGCATCTTTGGGAAGTCACGTTGAGCTTGTGGATCTACACACGACAGTACAAAAAGTCTTCAGTTTCGTTCGATCCGGCCGAGTTGCACAAATATAGAGTATCCATATGATGGATACTCTATTCAATGAAAAGGCCTTGCCACTTCGGAGGTGATATGGCTGCTAGAATCTTCATTTTCAGAGCGTAGATGACATAGTCGCCTGTTTGTATCCCATTGGCGATTGATATGATGAACTGGGCTGGCTCTCCAGCAACTTCTTGCATAGCGGTGAGCCACGGGGGGCAATCATCATCCCCGAGAACATGATTGTAGTCAGCCATATCGATGACACTTCGCAGAACTCTGAATTTTCACGTGTTTGGATAATATACAGTTGAAGAAATCAAATCTGTCGTCTGACCTGCAACTGGCGCGTATATGCACAATCTAATTCGATATACGAAGAAAATAGAGAACGTGTACAAGCTTGTGATTCTGAATCTGAGATGAATGTTAGATTTTCGACAGCATATGGACGCTGAACATTATGCATGGGCTTTTATTCGTCAGACGAATAAATTCCAAGCTAGCGGGATGAGAACACAGCGTGTGAAGGTGTTTACAGGTATGTCTAAAGTCAGAAGAGTGGAATAGTCGTGCTGTTCGCCCGAGGGGTGGAACCAGGCAATTCCCTACGAGGTCAAAATACCTCGAAGTATCAAACCGTTGAAAAGCAGTTAGTCTTCGTGACTGGGCTGGGCTGCGTGACATTTTATGGTTGCAGATTGACCGATAGGACGCTTTGACATTTACATGTCGATACACCCGATGTTCGAGGTTCAACTCGCCGACGGGGTAAGCTGATGGTGCCGAATCCAAGCTGTCATTCAAGTCTGAGGAGAGCATGTCCCAGCGCCGCAACCACTGTGCCTGATTTGGATACTGCCTTGCCTCCGTTGCAGAACATGGTCACGTGATTCCAGTACAAATTCCATCCTCAACAGATGGAACCTCGATCTGTTGTGTATGCGTGCATACAATGCGTACTGAGAGGGGTCTGCAGGCTTTGCAGCTGTCCACGCTTTCAGCAGTCAATTGTAGACTACACTCATTTTGGGGCTCAATCTTACATAAAAGTAGTTGATGACTAAAAACGATATCTTTGAACGATAAAGAGAAAGGAACGTTCTATTGTAATTCAGGCTTCGCAAAATGCCCCTGAGCAAGATCCACTAGATTCGTCCCAATAATCTTGCCTATTTACAAAAGATAGGCAAAAGTACGATACTGAAACCGGATCCTTTGCATACTTCTATAATTAGTCTATCATCCAAATTTAACTAAGGTATTTCTTGAGAATAGGGCGCAGTACACTAATGTATGCATTAGGGAGCATAAACTAATCGTTGATATATTATTCACACGTACCTCTTTCATTAATTTGACATTTGAATACTGTTAGAGGATCTACGGAATATACTCACTCTATCGTAAGGAATCGATAGAATGAATATCGATAAGGAATAGAATTATAGAATATCGTAACATTGACTTTATTTCAGCATGTGAAGGCGCTCTTTATTTTCCAACATTTTTGGAAAAACCTTTGCAATAATATGCTACTCCTATTGGGTAATCTCTTATGATTCACTGTTTAATTTTTACGGAATTCATTTATCAAGGTTTCCAATTCTCAAATTTCAATCTCCAGATCTTGGATTACAAGTGAGGATTTCGTCTGAAAGATCTTCGAAATGCCCTCTGAGTATTCGAGCTTTATTTTCTGGAATCCGCTCCTACGAGATTCTCTACTACCTAGTGATTTCCGATCTACTTCTGCCTTGGTGTGATTTTCGGATGAAGTGCATATCGATAGAGGCTGTAGCAGGCTTGAAGTTTCTGTACATAATTAATCGAAGGTGCGGACCTGGAGGTCCACAACTTCGAAAGAGCTTTACAACACCATTTGAAAGACAAGCCGGCTCAGACTATTTTGAGATGACGCAGTCAAACTACTGCGCCGAAATTTCTCAAGGAATATCATGACTGTGACATCTCAAATTGGTCTGAGTCCGAGTTCCCTTGAGTCTGAAACGGTGGTCGTCCATCGTGATATAAAGTCGTAATCATACGATTCTTTCTGTCCAAAATTGTGACCGGTTCAGAACCTGCTTCACCCTTCTCAAAACTTCCTGAGGTTTGGCGTCACCTCTTACAACGACCTTCTGTTTCTCTTGATCGCATTCCACGCAGTCGACGCCTATCAAAACAATGGGGAACAAAAAATCAGAGGAAAGTCCACATGGGGAGCGGTATAAATGTCTGTGAATCACCAGCAAATACAGGTAAGATGTGAAACTTCTGCTGAATTCAACAAGTGACATCTTCAAAGATGTTTAGGCACTTACCATCCATACCCTTCATCTTTCTGTGAATCTTTTCGACGCAGTCCTCGCAACATAATGGCACCCTCAGTTCGATGACACCGTTCTTTTCGTCTCTTGTTGCGCTTTCCTGCGTCTTCTTCTCTGCCTGCCGGCCAGTATCAGACAGAGCATTCGGGCTCACGTTCCAAACTCTTGCATGGCCAGAGAACAAGAATGATGGCATGTTTCGGCCCTGTAGACGTGCAAAGAATTCCATCAGTCACATAAGAAAGGTTGAAGGTTTTCAAAGTAGAGCAAAAATGTCAGGGAATTTCACTTCAGAGCATGGATTTAGCAGTGCTGATTCTCAAGAAAGCTAGCTGTTCAGTAGTATCATACCGCACTACGAGAGATCGCCATGAGATAAAGATTGTAACAGGGCACGGACAGATTTTGCGGATTCTGAAGTTAAAAAGCTCTCAGCAAAGGCTGTGATCCAGGGTTCAACTTTTGAGTTCTGAATTTCAGTGTGCAGGTAGAAATTATAGCCGCTCAATTCGGTGCATGAGTCAGGCTTCGAATGACGAAGAAAGCATCCACTGGCTCTTCTTATAACCACGAACGAGTGTCTTTGAGCAGATAATGCGCACGGGTTTTCTCCTGCTTTGCGTCGTAGATTTTGCTAATGATGGACGCGTCCTGAACTGTCTGGAGAAGTCCAAGGCGTGTTCCAGCAAAATCCAAGAAGAGTCATGCTGGAAAACTCTCAATCTCAAACTGGGATATCGAGCTCGTTGAGCTGTAGTCCATGGGTCGTCTAACGCGTAGTACTAGAGCGCGTACGGAGGTCGTTCGTTGACATTACTGACGCGGCTGTGACGCTTGTCAGCAACTTGTAAGGTCGTAAGCTGCCTTTCATACGTCGAAATTCCACGCTCATATAATAATGGCCTCCGACTAGTCTGTCGGCTTCACAGATTCGCTTCTTTATGAAACCGAGTAAGACAGAAAAAGGAGCGGGAACAACTCATATTCACAGCTTTCTAGATATTTGAAGTTTTAGGTGACGTTCTTATATTCTTGCTTGGTTCTAGCCGTACAGGTCAAAAGCAAAATACATGGAGATGCATGCAAAGGACATAGGCTGAAATTATAAAATTTAGGTATGAAAGTTTAAATGTAAACACCCGTTATATAAAACGAAGAAATGTTTCATGTCTCTGCAAGCAACTTCTTAGATTGGCAGGACCATAACTGAGTCTATTACAGCCTGTAATAGACTCAGGGACTGCACGGGCCTAGCCAGCGTACGAAAAGAATTATACCCTGGAATCTCAGAAAGCTAATGAACTAAATCAGTGTGGAAGTCGATGCCCTTTGCCTTGACGACTGCGTTCTGAAATTCTAACTTCACATTTCACGAGGGTTAAGTGAAGAATATACAGCACGAAATGTAATCTGAAGCGCGTGCTCTTGCTATTGCACCAGATCAACGAAGACTTTCTCAGAGCAACGTATACTTCTCTATCTCTCCGAAAGCGTGAAGCACTCGTGAAGTGGAATTGAAGCTCACGTCCATGTTTTGGAATCGATAGTAACTTAGCAGTGACGGGAAGTTACATATTGTTTCTTAAGTCCTGTCAGAAACCTGTCATATCAGCTGCAAGTCACGACTTGTTCCTGGCACACAAATAGGCATCGCGGGGCAGAACGTACGACGCCTCTGTGGCTGAACGCTGTCATATTAGCTGCAGCACACGACTCGTTCCTGGCAAATAAATAGGCATCGCGGGGAAAACATACGACGCCTCTGTGTCTGAAATCTGTCACATTAGCTGCAGCATACGACTCGTTCCTGGCAAATAGATAGCCATCGCAGGGAAAAACAGACGACGCCTCTGTGGCTGAAATCTGTCATATTAGCTGCAGAACACGACTCGTTCCTGGCAAATAGATAGCCATCGCAGGGAAAAACAGACGACGCCTCTGTGGCTGAAATCTGTCATATTAGCTGCAGAACACGACTCGTTCCTGGCAAATAGATAGCCATCGCGGGGCAAAACATACGACGCCTCTGTCGCCGAAATCTGTCATGTTAGCCGCAGAACACGACTCGTTCCTGGCAAACAGATAGCCATCGAGGGGCAAAACAAAAGATGCGTCTGTGGCTGGAAATCATCGACATCATGTCCTGCTTTTCACATCCTCTGCCCCGGATATAACGTGGAACAACGATGGGAAGTTGAGATTCTAGACGAGGAAAAGGCTGCGACTCTGTACTGGCGGTTTACCTGCAAGTGGGTTCAATTTCATAACAAGTAACAACGTCATCTGAAAGTGTCGTACTTGCAAGTGTCCTGGTCAGAGAAGTTGGTGCCTCGTTGGATTCTTGGGTAGCAGTAAGCTACGGAGGGGAATTATCATCAAATGGCTGACTATATCATTCTACTCAGCGGAAAGGAAACAGAAGAAACAACTACAGGCGAAGTACCTGACAAAAGCGAATGAATTCAAACACACCAGGGTGACCCCAATGAACTCGAATAGTTTGTGGATTAGAATCCAATTTGTGTGGTACCTTCGTCTGAACATATTGTCATAGAGATGCACAGACTGCATGAACCTTATTTAACCGTATACATGAGTGCCGACAGAGGTCCTTAGAAATAGCAATGCAACGGACAGCTCATTGTTTTATGTTTCAGGAAAATACATCAGGTTTCATTTCCTCTCGTATGGACTGCTAAGGATCACATCATTTGTATATTCATCACGTTGTCTTCATACACAAAATCTAATTGCAATGAGCTTATTCCATAGCATATTCCGTGTGGGTCCCAGATTAGGACAAAAGTCAACTTTGTGGGGTCCCGTTAAGTAACCTTCAAAGTATCAAGTGGTGAATCAGGTTGGTCACCTGAGCACGTGGCAAAAATCATCACACTATCACTCTCATCTCATCTTATCCATATTCATGGAATATGGAGAAGCCTGATACTGATAACTATGTAAACATTCTTATCTAAACTATTTTTATATTTTCTCGGGATAGAAACTTGTTTTGGATTTTGGACATTTATTATTTAAGAGCGAAAACTATATCAGTATCAAACATTTGTGGATACATGTTTTCAATTATATTCACCCAAAATTATCAGACCTTGGTGGTTTTAAAGGTTTCCTAGTAACTTTGGATGCATGTGAAGGAGCTGACATTCATCACATATCTTATTGTAGTTTAATGTTCTAGATTTATGGTATTTGCAATGAATGAATAAGTAAAAAACACTGCCAGACTTGTAGCATGCTTTCAGCGTCATTAGCTTAAACTTATGAGAAAAAAGAATCTATTCATTTTGTTCATATGTTTACACCTGTGCTCTAGTTGCAATTATTACACAACCACATGAAACATATAAAATGAATTGAAAATGTTATTTATAGACTATAACTTGAAAACGCTTTTGAAGTGTGTAACAATCATGTGTTTACAAGATCCCCACACTGTACTTGATAATTGAACTCGTATTTTTGGTTGAACTTGTTCTTGTATTTGACTCAATTGGAGTACGAATCATATGATTTTGGGTTTTTTTATAATTTTCATGCTTAAAAAAATTCTACGTTCCAATTTGAATCCAAAAAAATTTGGATTCAAATTGTCAAAACACTTTGATCAACATTTCAAATCGTGATAAGATAGTTTTTTTCTAACTTCTAGCTAATTAAAAATATATAACCGAAATTTCCACTGAAAAATCAACGGAGCACATGATGCAACGATAATCAACTTCAAGATTTACTGCAAAAAGAAGCAGGAAGCAGTAAATAACCCCCATTGTTGAAGTTTTTTTTGCAGAAAGAAGTTTAACTTAGAATGTGAGTAGAAGACTTTACAAATGTTAGCTGATTTTTTAATAAGCTAGTAGGTTTATTACGTATTTAAAGGTTAGAAATGTATGATGCGAAATGGCTGGTGTGGGTGATTACTGTTTGATATAAGTTGATAATACTCCCAGAGTTATGATGTTTGAATATAATAAAGTTGGCATGTAATCTCGTGTTCAAACCATGGCTTAATAAATGGGGACTGTAGATTACTTATTGATGAAACATTTAGAGCCAATAGACAGATAGATTATAACACAAAACAGAGTAAATCTTTTTCGTGGTTTAGAAAAATGTAGTCAAATAACGAGTCCAAGGAACAATGTTTTAGCTTCCACAATACTTTTTCAATGTCAGTACATGATTTGGAATATTTAGACTAATTTTATATAGATAATACATTTAAATTGTGTTGATGTGATCAATGTATATATTCAGTTCGGCGCATTTCTTTTTATTCATCATAACAATATGCAACATAAGTTGAATAATAAATTCAGATTGCTCTAAATGCAAATTTTTGAATGCATATGTATATATATATATAGAGATATATAGATTTTAAATTTCGTATTTTCGAAACTGTTTGCACTGATTTTCTAAATGTTTTATTTCCAAAATATCTTCATCACAGTTCTTATCGTACGCTCCACGAAACCAAAGTTGATGCAGACTAGCAAAGATGTTGACATGTCTCTAAATCATAAACACCATATTGAGTCCGTATGAAACCACATAACGTAAGGTCAAGCTTTACTTCATTAGCATGACTGTAAGGTGTGTTTGAACGTTTTTTGATGAAGTCCATCTAATTGCACGCGTAACAAGGAGAAGCTTAATTTCTGCTCCTAGATGAGTATTTTCTTCTTGTCAGAATTAGTAACTTTTCAACCAACGATGGTTAAGTGGCTTCTATTTATGAGGTCAATCGAAAATCTAGTGAGGAGGAACCAGAAATCAGCGCTGAAATGGCATAAGCAGTTTTAAGTTTAAATTGCTTTTGCCTACGATATGGTTTAAACTTCAAACCATATCGTTGAGCATTTCGAGTGATACGATCAGGTTTACCATGCATTATGTTTATTCCGTAAATCTGGTTACAGATTGAAGGAGCTCAAATCTGGATGATAAACGTACCGACCGTACAACCTATCTCATAAACTCAGTCTATGGACTCATTATGAGCTCTCAATGAACACAACACCCACAGCGTTGACATGTACAGCATGAATTCCTCTGCGTAAACCTTGTCTTCTGCCTGTCTGAAAAGTTGTAGAAGTTGCACAATCACACGTGAATATCAAAAATTTCTATGTTGTGTGGGGTCTGAAAATCGACATCATTGATCATGTTTCACGTCTACAAAGTCGTAATCTTGGTTTGATGTGTAGAATCGAAATTAAACACATTGTTTCACGTCCACAATTTTCCAAACATTGCCTGTAATAAAGTGTGTTCTGGAATGCGCAGCAGCTCGGCAGCTAGACGTACCTGCCGGACTGCTCAAGGTGAGGGTAGTTTGCTGCCCGAGAAATCTGATAGCTGTCACTTCCCTACTTCTAAGCCCCTGTCGAGCATGGTGTGAAACAACGCTTAACGTCATGCACGCCTCTCGCTTCTGCTCACTTCTATGTCTTGCGCAGCACAAATATTACAATGTGCACGATCCCTATGCTCCTTCAGTAGCATGCGCTGCAGATCCTCACTTCGTGAACAGAATTGCTATCTTGAAGAGAGTGACGGAGTTTCTTTGTGAGTTCCTGATGGATCAGCAAGATTGTGTTATCCTCCAATGCTCACAGGCTGAAGATACTCCACTCAGTTTGTATATCTGT